GGGAGAGTCCACAAGGAATTTAAGAGTAAAGCCACCATTATCCCTGTTAAATTTACCCCTGGGATTTTCGGCTTTTGGAATATCTATTTCCTTACCCTCTATTACCAGGAAGAAGAAAGATATGAAGAGAAAGATTCAATCATAGATATGATTGGCAGAAGCTTAGTCAATTGTACAGAGTTGTGGGAGCCAATAGTGAGGGGATTCCCCAATGTTACCTTGTATATAATGCCAGTACTAATGAAGCCGATAGAAAAGATCGATATGGATCAATTGAGGGACGAGTTGAGTGCGTTGGGAAATGAAGGTATGGCTTGGGAAGATAATGAGCAGATCGCGATAAGTTGGTCGGCAATGATGGGTACATTCATAATTATAGCCATAGGGGGGATGGCAATATTGAAGATTAGAAGTAAGAGGAAATTAACTAGCGGTAATCAAATGAGCATGCAGAAACTCGAGAGGGAGATGCCGAGCAGTGTTCCTTACTCATACAGAATCGGCGAAGAAATTGCAAAAAGACCGGCGGAGGAGGCTGACGTGAAACCGACAGATGCGGCGGAAAAGCCTCCTACAGCAGAGAGAAAAACATTGACCAAGAAGAACAAGCCATAGTAACCACACACATGCACTCACAGGCACACACACACATTAAATTGCACGAGAAACAGAAGAAGATGAAAAGAACATTACATTTGCATGTAGAACAGAAGAAGATGAAAAGTACATCACCTTACATGTAAAACCGTAAAAAAGAAACGAAGAATAGAATTGTATGGGACAGATGAATGAGGCATGATGCATGCTAAATAATGTATTTGGTTTTAGGTGTCATTTACGAGTAAATGACAAATAGGTTAGTGGAAGATTGTGACACTATTTGCGACGCTAGAAAGAACGAAAAAAAAGAAAGGCGAGAATTAAATTTAGGTGAGAAGAAGCCATCACGAAAAAGAACATTATGTTATTATTTTTAACAAAAAAAAATGCTAAAGGTTTTATTCTCATCAGCCATAAAAAAAAAAGGTCGCTGATGTTTCGGATTTAATCTGATTTATGTTACGGGTCGGCGAATAATATCCAGTCTGCCAACGGCAATGGTAAACATTTCAAGTTGGGTCGCGAAAGTTAATGTCCTTTGGACCTCCCGCAGAATTCTAAAGAGATAAAAATTAATTAAGCACGAACTGACCGAAAAAACAAAATGCCCGCTGAACCTCCCACAGGGTGCTAAGAGATAAAAATCAATTAAGTCATGCTTGACCGAAACAAAAATATCCGTGGAACCACCTCCATGTCATTTGGAAAAAGCATCTGTTTATTGTCGGGACTAGATATGATAAGAAATGTATTTTATCTGGACGAAAAGTTGGCTGTGTTTCGCCAGATGACCACCCACTTGATAATTGGCGAAAATCTCGTTGACGAATTCCATATGAAATTCGATTGCGATTAAGGGACCACGCTACGAAAGAAAAAGAAAAGAACAAAAGAGGTTTTTTTTTTTTTTTGAGCAATATTTTTTAAACCGAGGCTAGTCTGGCCACACCTACGCTGCTGAGCGCCCATTGGCTGAAAGGTGGCATGAGCGTTAGGCGGAGATAATCATGCGAAGAAGGAGGGATGGCCTATTGCCCCCCCCCCCGTAGAGATAGTTATGAGATGCCACAGTGAGAGAGAGGGGAAACCCGTTGACACCCTCTGAGGGCATGGTGAGATACCAATATGAGAACAGAAGAAGGTGGGAAGACGGATGACTTCCAAAAACTGAAAATAATAAAATTTTCCGAAAACAAAGAAGTGGATTGTGGGTTTCGAATCATCAAGGAACCTCAAACCCCGACAAGCCCACCCCGGTTTTAATCGGCGTCCATATAAGCAGAGTCGCAGCGAGTGAAAAGCAGTTCAGTACCAGTTCAGTTCCAGTTATGTTGAGTTGGAGTTCAGTTCAGTTCGAGTTCCTGTTAGTTGCAGTGAGCTGAAACTCTGAAGACCCGCCTCGTAGAAGCTGACTAAGATTCACGCAAATCACGACTCATCTTCTAACCAAGAACTATTTATTTTTGAAGAACGACTTAGACTCATACCACAAAAAAAAATTTTACGAATTTCGCCTGAAGATACACCAAGAACCAGTTTCTTAAAGAACAAGCAACTTAAGATGTTAAGACTCGCCTAACAAACACAAAGTGTCACGAATCCATATAGCGGGTTGGGAAGTAGACGCAGTCTTGTATTCAGCAACCATATATAAAATATTGTTATCCTTTTTTTAACACATTTGAACTTTTTGAGTTATTATTTTATTTTCTTTTACACATACTTGTGCGATATCACCCTTATTCAAACTCGACTTGCAGTACGGCCCGGCGACTGATTGATTTCGTCTGTCTAAGATCAATTCACAACGTGGGTAGGTGAGACTGGAAATCAAAACAGTTACTTCGGTAACCAGACGTTGTAGGCGAGCTGGGAACGACAATGTTGATACCGAATCTAACCAGATTCCCATCCGAATCACCAAAAACTAGTTGGTCGTCACAGGACAGTATAGCACGACTGACGCGGCTAGGCAGACGTCACATTTGGCGCAGCGACACTCGGGGGGGGGGACGTTACATTGTTTCACTGTCTCGATTGATTATGTGAGTATGTGAGATAATTTTGAGAGATTCTGACCCAACTTCTTTGCATGAATGCGATCGATGGAATGGCTAGAAAGAAAGAATAAAATGAAAAGTTATTATTTACACTATATACATTCAAGCTATAGTCCTCATCTTTTTTTCTTGTTATCACAACGTTTCAGTCGGTTTGTCTTCTGGTTTTACATCAGGTGTATATCGATATAACCCACAGAGTATTCTAAATGGAACCCTTTATATAATTTACGGTGCTTCACTAATCTCGTTACCATGGTAATGTCTAGGGATTCTTCGGCCGAATACTCTTGGCATATATCTTATATATCTGAACATTGCTGAAAATCAAAACTGCGTATCCTTTTCACTAAAAGATAGCTTATTTTCCTGGTGTTAAACATCACAAATGCATACAGTCTGAATTTGACCTTTTTAGGTACATTATACAAAGTAATTGTTAGGGAATTCAGAAGCGAAAGTGAGAATCTTTTATTTGTCTTTCATCATTTTTGATTACTCTGTGATTTAATATACAAATAATATATATATTTTCACTTGTTTTCAATGAAGAAATAATATTGTCTTATTTCATTTTGATATTCGACGTAAGTTAAATAAGTTACGCCAAGCACATATTCTGATTAGGATATTTTGGTTTATCTGTTTGTTATTTGCTTATAAATAATCTCACGATATTTAACAAGCAAAGGCCAAAGCAACATGCCCTGTTATGACATTCCAGTGGAAATAAAACATGATTTCAAATATAGCTTTTCCAAAGGTTTCATTGATTTCTTTGACATCGACTAGTTAGAGAATGTTGTAAACACTGAAGTCATGTTTATTAACTTTTTCAATACTTCCCACTGTCATAAGCAGTAAACAATCTTACCGAAAGATTCAATGAAATAATTATAAACATACTTAAAAATAAGCCAGTTATTTTTTCTCACTCACGCACAAATATAGACGCAAGGACAAAAGCAAACAGATACACACACACATACACACCCACATGCACATAAGCACACATGAATTTCTGGGGTGAGGAGTTACTGATATTTACACGATATAAATTCGGGCTATTATCCTCATTTATTTCCTGTCATCTCAACGTTTCGTTCGTTATGCCATCTGGTTTTCATCAGGTGCATATCGATGTAACCCACAAGCTATTTTGAATTAAACCCTTTATTTAATCTACGGGGCTCCACTGATCTCGTTACCATGGTCATGTTTAGGGATATATTGTGTGTTCAAACATTTAGTACTGCTTAATTTCTGCTTACCCGTTTCCTATGAGTTCAAGTACAAAATGCTCAGTCCAGGGATTGAGCTCGAATTAATATGTCACCAGATTCACGAACCAATGCTTAAATCCACTATGCTATTGCGGCGTAAGAATTCTGGAACAAAAGTGGACTAGGTCGGAGAATTTGTTATAGCAACAAGAAAAATGAGAACATTAATCTGTATGTAAATATTTGAAATAATATAACACATAAAAAAAACACACACACACACACACACACATATATATATATATATATATATATATATATATATATATCAATTGCTTGGTATGAATTATGCATATATATATATATATATATATATATATATATATATATATATATATATTCAATTCACACCAAGCAAGGCAGAATTGTTACAAGAACGCAAGGTGCTACTGAAGATTCAGAACAAGAGTAACGATACGTGTTCGAGGAAAGGATACAGAGAAGGACGGGGAACAAATCAAGGTATCAGAAAATGTCGATTGACATAAGACTTAGTTATCAGGAAAGCAAATATATATATATATATATATATATATATATATATATATATATATATATATATATATATATATATAGTGTGTGTGTGTGCGTGTGTACATATACATGTTTCTTGCCAAATTTGACTAATATATTCATAAAACATCTAGTGTTTATGATAAAATTAGAACTCAATACATAGTTGAAGAGTAATGCTTAATAGCTGTAGCAGCCGCTGTTTTTAAACCCCATATTTGCAGAGACCTCAAGCGGATTTCATATATATATATATATATATATATATATATATATATATATATATATATATATATATATATATATATATATATTCAGTGTGTCCAGACATCCGATTTATTCAAGCCGGGATCGAAACCTGGTAACGTCTAGGCCATCATATATATATATATATATATATATATATATAATGCAGGCTGAAAGTATATAGATTTGCAATCTTATAGACATTCGCATGGCGGATGTGCAAGCAGTTGACACCGGTAGAAAGGGCCAGGAGTACGCACGGACGGATGATGGCGCCGCCGCCTTGGGAACGCGATCACGAACCCGACTTCGGACTACAAAATGTTTAACCGCAACATCTTTAATATATACTACCGGAGTCGGAATTACCTGTGCTGCTCGCAACAGACTTGCCATCTTGTTGATCCTCGGTAACTGATTTGAAGTGTACTCATTCTGATCGCGATGCCTTGACAGAGTCCCGTGTCGTTATTTTTCGTCACTCACTCCCCGTGCCGGCAGTGGGTAATTTGCGCGTCTGCTGCCTTCCTTGGACGTGGTAGTCGTTTCGCATGCTCCCTCTCCGGAATCGAACCCCGATTCCCTGTTACCCGTAATGACCATGGTAAGCACAACCGACCGTCGACAGTTGATAGGGCGGACCATCGAGATACCCGTCTCCAGGCGTAAAAAACAGTGCGATCGACCAGTGAGTTAACCAGTGATTAGAACGGAGGGCACCGCCCTTCGGCCCCGCCCTTCGGCCCAGCCCTTCGGCCCCGCCATAGAACTATGGGCGATTGCCCGGAGAGAAACGACGACGTTGAGATGAAGGAATGACGCGCATCGCTCTCAGTGTAATATGTGGCACCGCGACCCATAAATATCAACGATGGTGGCCACGCGCCTGACGGCAGGCGACGACAATTCGCCGACCGATAGCGGACTGTTTTACACGTATTTGTTCTAGAATGGCCACAGTTATTTATCACCCCCAAGGAGGATTACGTTCCTGATGATTAGGTCTGATTCATGAGCTATTCGCGTTTACGCACTGTCTAATGCATGGCGTGAAATTACACTTGCATGGCTTAAGCTCTGAGACAAGCATATGACTACTGGCAGGATCAATCAGGTATCATTCTTTGATACATGCGTCTCGTTATCGATCACGGCAACGACAACGAACGTGCGGTGGATGCGCAACCACCGTTGGCAGGCTTGGTGTGCGTAAGATGGAAGAAGCAAGCCTTTTACGACACCATCCTATGAGGAGGCGGCGACGGCTCTCCCGGCTTAATCTTTAAACGAATACGATTTTTTTTTTACGGCACTTTCACATTTTCGCCTCGTCGACACGTGAGTTAGCGAGAGTTCGGGAAACAGCTGCCATTTACCAACGAGCTGTAGACGCGTGTCTAACAACGACTAGCCAAATGATGGTAGACAAAAGGCCTGGTGTCGATACACGTGGTCAACTGAAAGGCGGTTGAGTCATTTCATCCGTAATCTTCGACGCCGAGACAGTGACTGGACGGCATAGATTTGCCTGGAAAATATACCCGAGAGCGGCGGACCGAAAGTTTGGCAGGGGTGGGCTGCAAAAACGGGAGACGAACGACAATCATTCGACGTCCCTGGGTCTTCAACATCGCGTAAGACGGACGGACGTGGCGGGGACGGATGACAGCGGCAGGCTTTCCGGTGGTGTCTGCAAACGTGCTACTATTCTGACGGAGTCGCTGGTGGAGGCGGCGGCGGCACGGATAGTAGTGGTAGATATTCGCGATATGTAGACATCCCGTCAACGTATTTTCTCGACGCGTAGGTAAGCCAAGAGCTGTGGGACGAAAAACATTCAGCGGCGTCCTTTACGCCGATTTAATTCGTGACCGACGAAAGGATAACTTACGGCGACAATCGATGGAAATATCGCGCGCACGACAACGCATTCGAAATCTCCTCATTTCTGATCGCAATTCAAACGAATGAATCCGATTTGAGCACCGTGTCGCAAGGACTTTAGACGCAAGTATCGGTCAATGAAGCGAGCGCTTGAAAGGGATGCGAGAATTACACCTGGATTGGTCTCCATCGACCGAAATGACTTCCGGCGTGAACATACATGATGGGAAATGTGGACAGTAAATGACATGTTATCGACTAGCACGAGACAAAAAACAAATCAACAGACTATTATAATGACGACAACGAAGACAACTTCAACATCGTCGGACACAACGGTCAGGACCGCGCGTTTAAAGGCGACATTATCGGCGAGGGTGGCGAGTGGTTCAACTAAGCCGGCAATAGAATAACCACTAAGGCGGTGGCCAAACGGCACAATGCACGCGAGAGGAGGCGGCGACTTGGGAAACGTGTGGATACGCTTCCTCCTCTGAAGGAATGGCGACTAAGGGGATAACGACGACGCAGGCGGCGGCGTAAACGGTTAAGATGGCAGTACGATAAAAAGGAAAGCAGTAGTAAAGAAAGAAATAATGAACGATCAGCGAAAGTTGATGCAATTGCGAGAGAAAGCAAAGATAACACGCACGGAAGGGAAAAATCTAAGCCTAGGCCACCGTTTGGCGTAAATTTGCTGTACTCGCGACGCTAACCGAACAAAATGGATAGAGGCTCGTATTGAGGAATCGGAGGGCGGATTTCGAATTCCAGTTGATTACATTACATTCAATTACCTGCTAATACCCATGAAAAGGTATGAATCCTCGTCTTCTCCCTTCAGCTATGGGTAAATAGCAGGAGTGACCAGGTTCTATAGCCTTGAATGGCAACTAGTCTACCGAAGAAATAAATTGCAACCTACTGCAAAAAAAAATTGCCTCGTCAATCATGTATCGAAAGATGTATGATTGCCTATGCTTGCGTCACGCATAGCACACAACTAAGATTGTATATTAAATGATTTTTATGTATAATTAGTTACAGAACAGAGATATTGGATGATTGTCAAAATATGCATGTCTATTAGAAGAAAACAGCTGAACGTAGATTAAATGTTTCAAAATTAAAAATATATCTATATATATCTTCTCTATATAAGAAAATCTCATAAGAAACTATTTGTTGAGGTGGAAATGAAAAATGTATTTTTTCTCAAATAAATCAAAAACAACTTTTGGCGAAAGTATTGCAAAATATTTCTAATTATGTCATCTAGATATTCTTCTAATATCACTTGTTTACGAGATATCGATATTACTTACTGAAATGTCAAAGAAATTAAAAATGTTTTAGTAGCAATCGCAAACACACGAAACAAACACATACATACACACATATAGATAGAGAGAGATAAGTAGATAGATGGATAGAAGTTAGATAGAATGTTTCTCTGTGTGTATATATCTATCCGATTGTCAGTGTGTCTTTATATATATATATATATATATATATATATATATATATATATATATATATATATATATATATAGAGAGAGAGAGAGAGAGAGAGAGAGAGAGAGAATATATTAGTGGTTAATATACACATACATATGCAATCATATATCTAAACTATATAAATATATATGCATACATACACATATGTATATCTCTATCTACAAAAGGCAGGATGTGTGTGTTTGTATCGAATGCACGGCCGCAATTTTCGACGGATTTGCACCAAAATTTACATGCACATGCTCCAAGTTAGCGGGAAGTCGAAGACTGACTTTGCATTTCCCAACTCCCATCGATAGTTGAAATAATCGATTTTTTTTGCTTCTGCGTCAGTTTTCATGTAGTTTGCGGCCATTTTCTACTGGCCAGAGTGAGAGCCAATAGCTGGCTGCCGTCAATAGGCAGGTAGATTCTATTGGCCAGCGAGAGAGCCAACAGCTGACTGGCACGAATTTTAACTAGCATGCTAACATGCAAAAATAAATCGATAGCTGCATTCGTCACAAGTGGGAAAAATTTAAATCTGCATGGCACTTTACTGCAGTTGACTCATTCGCTTGTTTAAAATCAATTTTGATTCTGATTCCGCAGAACTGGGTTGGGTGCGAAAAAGTATTTGAACATAGAAATATAAATCTTTAAATCGGTAAATCTTTATTGTATTAGACATCCGAGAATATTCATGCTTCTCTCACTTAAACCTTCTTTGACTCCCCTCTTTAAAACTTCTCTCTGTTAAATTTTAATTCCACACTTCATCTTTAGACCTTCCTGTTCTTCTCCTGTTCTTCTCTCGTCTGTTACCCCCCTCTATAGCTTTCATTTACTCTAACATTCGTCCCAAAATCTCATACATACACTCTCACTAAATTTTATTTTTTATTCCCGGAGTTGTTTTTTCTGTTTTCTTTTTGAATTTGTAGGTTTGATGAATTGGATCGTATTTACGATTCCAATGGAATAAATTATGACTATGGAATATTACTGTTTAAGCCTTTTATTATTATTATTATTATTATTATTATTATTATATATATATATATATATATATATATATATATATATATATATATATATATATATATATATGAAGAAATTTATTCTTATGGTGTGCTATATTTATGGGATAAAGTGCTCAATATCAGAGATAGAGCGTGTGTAAATATAAAAGTAAACATAGAAGGCCTGACGATTGCATATAGCATGAAACAGACTGTCGCCTCTAAGTGTTGACTTCTATGTTCATTTATATATATATATATATATATATGTGTGTGTGTGTGTGTGTGTGTGTGTGTGTGTGTGTGTGTGTGTGTGTGTGTGTGTGTGTATAGATAGATAGATAGTTAGATATTTATTTGTTTATCATTAAAAGTTAGTGCGGATTTCAATTGTAGTTGAGTCAATTTTTGCTCATTTCGTGTCGAATACTTTCACCCATAATTCACGTGTTAAACATCTGAATATACTTTGCACTGAAGTATTTATTACCAACCAATATCGTGAAAGGTTACCTTTCAACACAAACAAAGAGAAAATTCATACTTAATTACTCCACTACTACTATTCCTACTTGCAATATTAGCAATTTTTTTATAAGAAAGAGATTCTATTTAGCGATCATAGCCTATTAAAATTGTTGGGATGATTTGGAATCTAATTACTGCTTTTATGAGTAAAGCGAAAATATTGCGAACATAGTAAGTATGAAATGAATGCATATACAAAGAGAGGGAATTGTTATATCTCGAATACACAATACGGAAAAAATATATAGCCATCTTAACTCTTTCAGGGCATAATGGATTCAAAAGGAGCAGTGCTAAGAGTGAGTACTCTGCTTTCTGAGCACGTGTTAACCGACGTCAAAAAAGGTAAAAAATAATAATGTTTCTTGTTAAGTATTTTAATTAGAGGTACTAATGTGAAGTGCTTGAGAGAGAAAAATACATTACAGTGTGAAAGAGAGAGAGAGAGAGAGAGAGAGAGAGAGAGAGAGAGAGAGTTAGAGAGAGAGAGAGTGAAGTAAAAAATGAGGAAATAAGTTGAAAAAAATGAGATAAATAATCATAGATTAAAGAATAAAAGATGAACAAATAAGGAATGGATAAAAAAAATAAAGATGAAAAGGTTAAGAGGGAAAAGGCGATAAGTGAACAATAGATTAAAGAAGAGAGAAATGAAATAAAGAGAAAAGTAAAAAAAAAGAGAGAAAGCAGAGAAGAGAAAATAAAAGAGAAAAAACAAAGAGAAATGTAATGAGACACAATAAAGAAAGGAAGAAAATAAACCAGTAATTAATATAAAAATTAATATAAAGAAAGACGTATAAATAAGAAAAAAAACATGATCAGTAAAACGAAATTCGAAAATAAAACTGTAAAACGAAGAACTATAATGCCATTTATTATGTTTTCACCGTAATAAATCTTGTAATTAAAAAAAAGATTTCAGTTATAATTTTCATTCATATTTTATTTTGTAAAAAAATCAAGATATATTAAAATTAATTATTATGGGATAAATAATGTAAAAGACAGAAATATATGTTTTGCTTTTCCTTTTCTTTGTCTTTTCACAGCATTTACATGGCAGTGCTTATAATGAGTTTGCTTCTATAGCATTTAGACTGTAGTTATTTAAACATTGTAACTAACTGGCAAGTAGGTTTTTACTGTTGAATCAGCTAGATGTAACTAAAATATAATACCATTCTAATTGCTGTTGCTTTTGCACATCTCATCAGTGGATATCAGTCCTGGCTATTTGATTTCATGTTAAATACGAGCATAAAAAATTTTAAATACTACTTTTATCGCCATTTTCTATTTTTCTGAATCTTGTTCAATTTGTGTTCCATCCTTTTTACTAAATTTTATTTTAACTCATAGTAGCGCATGCGTCTATATGACGTTATCGCTTTGCCTGGGGTGAAATGTTAAAAAAAAATCAAGTATTTGTTTATTTATTCATACATCTATTCTCAACGGCTTTGATGGTCATATCATTTGAAAGGAGTGAATGTTTTATCAGATGAAAGATAGAGGGAGACATAGAGGAAAAGACAGAGTGGAAAGAGAAGGGGAGAAAGATATTGAAAGAGTGTGTGGCAACATATATGCAGCGTGTATCTAAAATATTTTTACAAACATTGGCGGCTGTTTCCTCATCCCCCAAAAAATAAAGAAAATAGAAAGCCCAGTAATTAATATAAAATAAAACATATTTCCAAAAGGTCATCCAGAATGCGTTCTTCGTGGTCAAGCGTACGAATGGATCTCGTTCTTTCCCGTTCCACATTTGGTGGTGCCACGGACATTGTCTCAGCAACGCGACGTGAAACAACAGCAAAAGTACGATTACTCGTCTACCATCGGTCTGGAAACAGCCGTGTAGCCTCGCTTCCATTACCATTCGCGCTGCGCATGTGAAAATCGTATCTGACTGCTCACTATATGAATATCCTTCTATTGTTCAGCGGAACACTCTCAGTTAACTCACAACTACACAGGTTCAACGTTCAAGACATACTAACCACAAATATAGGCAACGGATAAATGTAAGCTACCGTAAAAATTCTTTAAACTTAATAACTAATACACGAAGGATTTGCGGAGATATGTTTATATGAACTTTTGACATTGTTTTGGTATGTAGAACAATCCCAAAGTATTTTTTATACACTATCTCTCTCTCTCTTTTTTGTGTGTGTGTTTGTATATATATATATATATATATATATATATATATATATATATATATAATTATTTATTTAAAAATATGATTCCAAATCGCTACATAAGAGGTCTCATGTTTCAAAACAAGAGCCGAAAACTTCAATATAATCCTTTAAATTAAATTGAGTTTAAATTAAAATGGGCTCCGTTCCATCTTCAAGCGAAATTTTTGTTGAAATCAAAAAATCAAAAAAGATTCCAATAAGATCATTTTATAAAATCTGGTTAGATAGGTTACTGATTACACGAACTGCCTCCCTTGCATTCAATATATTCTACGAGTATAATATACTTACAGAAGATTATCAGCTTTTCGTATAGTTTCTCGTTCGTTATATTGACATTCAGATGTATATGTAATGTCATACCTAACATTCTAATATAGCATTATTCTAGCCCCACGCAGAAGGTTTTATCAATGATGCATGTCTCGCTTGCATGCAGAAGGACTGGTTC